AGGTATTCCCTGGTAATAAGATATTAAACCCAAAAATGTATTCTGCTGCACTAATTCTGGAGCCAAAATTTATTTATAAAATGACGGGTGTAACATTAGTTGATTATTCCAATCTTAATTTTAAAAAAGACGATACGCTACCATTTACTTGCAAATTAAAACAAAGAAAGCKRGTCTCAAAAAACAGCTGTAAAGTTAAAGAATGTGTAACACCGTGTAAAAAACCAATGATGACTATTAAATGCAGTAAATCACAGTTGCCAAGTTCAACAATAGTATTACAAAATACGAAATCAATAATTAGTCAGACTAAAACCTCTATAACTAATATTTTAACATCGGATAAAAACACAAATACATTTAACACTGAAAACGATTCCAAATTTAGTAATCTGAACATGACATATCAGGAATGTAAGTCGAACTCAAAATGTCTGAAAAGAAGTGTAAAGAAAACTAAGTCAGTTGAAAGCTGCAAATTTCCTAAGGAAGCCGACTTGAACATTAACGATAATAACGAATCTAAAGAACGGAAAAATTTTTCAACGGTATTAAACGCAGGCAGATCATCTTTCAACGACAGTTCGAATTGCGATTGGACCATGTCCACTGTAGAGATATCACYGAGAGAACCCAATCAGGCCTGCAACAGCACACCACCGGTCGCAAAGGTGACAAACTGTAACGCCAACTGCAAGTTAATCTCGTTGGATCAAGTTGCGAGTGTCGAACAGGAATATCAAGGTGCACGACAAATCAGTGATGTGCAGCAGATGGTGGCCATGCCCACGTTCCAGAGCACGAGAACCACAGAAAGTGGACCAGAACCCCCGCAAGAACATAGGCGSTCTCTTGGCAATCGCGACGATAAGAACTCGGAATGGACAGGGAACGGCGGATGTGCGGACACAGTCTTCAGCAGTGATCAGCGTCAAACGTCTTCGGGGAAGAGAATGAGCGCCACCGAGCCAAACGATAGGTATGGTGCAAGTGCACGAAGTTTGACATCCGATGACGGACGGTTTGTAGAACAGTCCTGCGCTACCAAAGACCAAAACCACTCGTGTCCAGCAGCATTTATGGAACATCAGCCGTTGACGCCAAAGCGGCCAGACACTTTGGGAATGTCGAGTTCAGATAAGAGAACCAGCCAGTTGCAACAACAGCAACAACAGCACCAGTCTGCGAGGACCAACAGAGATAACAGATCCAATACAGCCACAGTCGTCGCCACCGCCTGGGATCCCGACGTGGGTAGCTATACAGCGTTTTCGGATAGGCACATGGCAGAGGACCGGTCACGATTTCTGACGTCCGAGAGAACGATCGATGACCACCCCGTGGCAGTTTTGCACTCGCGGTCATCTTCGCCGTTGTCACAGCTGCTACCAGCCAACGATTTTCACGCTGCAGCAGCCGCAGCCGCCGCCAACAACGAAAACGATTTGTCGGACGACAGCTTCGGCGCGGCAAGCGATTGGTCCGCTGAACAGAGGATCAATCGATGTCAATCATGCACCACTAACCGATTCCGCAACGACAACAATTATAACAGCGCGGAATCGCTGTCTACGTTAACTTCGTCGGACAGTTCAATCGAAATGCGGCTCGCGGCACGTAGTCAGCCTYTAGGCCGCAATGTGAATTACGCGCGTCGAACGGACAACCTGTCGATAAGCAATAACGATCGATACCCGTTCGACGACAGCGTGTCGGCTAACATCAGTGACGACGTTAGCCTGCCGGACCGCGACCAAGCGGTCGACGACATCTGGCCGCCCGCTTACGATCTTGTCGAGAATGTGAGCATGCCGGGCTCTTTGGTCATCGGGCCTTGGTCGTTGTCGATGAGCGATTCGAGAAGCGACCAAGTTCAAGAATTCGGTGACGCTAGTGGCCCAGATCCATACGACACATCCTGTTTGGAGGGCGGGAACGCATCTGGCCTGGATGACTATGACGATCGACCGATTTCACACAACAGTTTTAGTGGATCTGAAACGGACGATAACGGTGCGGTCGCGGCTCCACAGCGCCATAGAAATTATTGACAAAATCGACAGGAACGTTCACATTATAATATAATGTAATATAAAATATGATTCRATGAAATTATTTCAAGTGTATCACTTAAAAATTTTATTCTTCACTTTTCAGTTATTATAAATTTATTTTTAAGAGCATTAGAGTTCACGTGCGATCTCCAGTGGCGCACAGTAGATTTTTCACAAGGATGTCGAAAATATATATCTCGCGRTACCCACCCCATAAGTAAAATTTGAGTTTATACTCTTTATACAATYAATATTAAATTAAACAAATATWTATCAAAATAACATCTAAATTCACCCAGAACTAGTCACACTCACCCAGTCACCCACCAATTCTCWGAGGGGTGTCAGTCGACATGTGTTAGGAGCCTTGTATTAAATTTTCAAATCTTAGATCTAAAAAGAAAAACTTTTATGAATTTCTATCTAAGATAATTTGAACATTGCCGTAATTTTTACGTGTTTAGTCAAAATTTGAACTTTAAATGCTTATAAAAAAAATCGTGCCGATGAATTTTTAATATTTTTTAACTGTTATTGTTACAATGTGTAAAAAGCCTTGTATTAAAATTTCAAGCTTTTCTACCCAACAAATAAATATTTATCGATATTTCTAGAAAATAAATTTAAAAAGTTKAAAAATTAAAATGTCAGTAAACAGCTCAAAACTTATTAAAAATATATATATCATATATASATCCAACAATATATAATCTGTGTTAATGTAAGCATGAGTATGCTTCAAATATAAAAAAATCCATCACCGTTAACTTATTTTACTTTGGTTAGGTTGTTAGGTATAATATATTATTTATAATGGTTTTTGTCTTTAAGTTTCATTAGTTTAAATGCTGTCCTTAAAAACAAATATTTATACAGAAAATTGAAGTTTATAATTGTATTAATAATTTGTATGCATATTATACAAATTTAATTTATTATATAAATAATTAAAAAATTCCTATTTAAAAAAAAAAGATAAAATATACAGTATAAATTTAAAAAAATATWTATATATAGGAAAAAGTTGGAAATAGGTTGGTAGGYATGCTAAAATATGTGCAAAAAACTTTTAAATTTCAAATCCAGACACCACAAAACAAATTTATAATGAATCAGATTTATTCTATTTGCTTTCCGGACAAATGTTTTGCAAATGCATAATACCAAGCGCTCATAAATTATGTTACAACAWTAATATCTTAATAATATAAATAAATAAACATATTTTATGTTATCAGAAATGACAACTCTGCTAAGATGATAGCTATGACCGCACCACCCCACCCCGCCAACCAGTGATGCTCCGTCWATGAATATAAGGTATATGGTTTGATAAGATTATTGTTAACATGATAACAGATCAGATTACAGTGTATGTAACAATCTGAAGATTTTTTATGGAACTCTGATTAGTATCAGTTATCTGAGTAACAGTTTCAGTATTTGGCACGATTTCCAATGAACTTTGATTAAATTCATGCATATTTTTTAGAAAATGAAAATAAAAAAAATAATTKTTGGTGATACAGGCAAAATAAAATAATTTTTTAATRTATGATATTAAGAACTTTGATTATAGATAATAATTTAATTTATAAATATTTAAAAAAAAACATAAGGACATACATTTTTCTATACATTTATATTTTATATYATTTGAATTTTGGGTATTAATATTATCAATTCACAAATGTATAATGAAATAATGATTATAATAATTATGAAGGGAACTAGCTGTGTGTTCGAACGAATTGTTTTCGAATGAAAGTGTTCAAACACATCTGTTCGAATGGAAATGTGTTCGAATAGTATTATGTACGAATGTATGTGTTCGAACAAATCTGTTCGAATGGACTTGTGTTCGAATAGTATTATGTACGAATGTTATATTTTCATATTTGAACATAATAACGAGTATTATACGATTATCGTTCATGTCACAGATATAATTCACCTCATAATTTGTTAAAAGCCAGATAATAGATATTATACTTTTATGATCGCGCGATAAACCAGCCATATTAAATATATATATTATAGAAGTGTGTAGTCATCACTCTAATGACTTGTAATGTTTCACACGTTGGCTTACCCAGATTCGGCGTGGAGCGTCCATTGACGAAACTAGGTATTAAGGTAGCCAACCCACAGGTGAGATTCGGGAATCGGAGCATGTGGGATTTTTATAATGTAAAGAAAACTCGGAAAGAAATGTAACAAAGAGTTAATGGGTAATTTAAGGTATATTATTTTA